AATTTAGAATGTCTAGTAAGGTCCAATTAAGTTCAATACTAGGACCTCTTCTTTTCTTGATTAATATGATCGATCTTCCAGAGCAAGTATTGTCAGATTGACCACTTTTCGCCGAGGATCTGAAACGCTGTGTGAATTATGCAACCAATAGTATAATCTGGAACTTCTGTAGTGGCATTGGACAATAGCCACACAATCCACAAAGCTGTGAACACGAGACTACTCAGAAAATAGATATTCAATATTTAACGCGGAGAAATACCTAACAATGGAGAAGGCGCGAACAATGAATTGAATGGACTGGGGTTGATCGAGTGGCATGGCTCGGCCATGCAGGCGTGGTCTCTATTCATATTAAATATATTGTTCTTTCTCTAAACTAACCTGGTTCTTCATCATGTATTGGTAATTGATACGATACAGTGAGTTGGCGTAGTCGATGGTGTGACTTCCACGTAAGATCTTATAGATTAGGCAGTTATATCATGACGAATCTACAAATTTAGGATTAGGTCTATTATTAGAGCAGTACTAATATCGTAGTAGACCATAATTCTACATTGGTGAGCCCAACTAAAGAAACGCAACCTATTATTATTAATCCTTATTTCCACTTCAACTTTCTCGATCGATTTTATATTTATGTTAACCCTGTATTCTAATAGTCCTCTGATTAATGCTCACATGCATTATCGTAATTTTATATTGATTAGTCCTCATGACAAACTAGCTCAATCGATAATAAAAACTGGTCGTCTATATTAACTAATTAGCTTTGATGGTTTGTTAACAAGCTGTAATAGCATTTACATGCTTCAGCAACATAGTCTTGTTTAAACATCAAGCTCTAGCAAATATGACCTGTAAATAGCGTAAATATACATTGACTAACAATGCGATCAAGGACTAAATAGTTATCTGGATCTAATTCTCAGTGTTCCTTCACTTAACACCTCATCCTGTTTTAAACGATGCACTATCCTGTAATATCTTTTCTTCCGACCACTGCCTGCCTAATTTCATATTCTCGAGTTCCATTGCCAAACAACGAGGATGACTACTCCAAAAACATACGGTGAGTTTCAGCTATAAGTTTTCTGCAATCATTTTTAGATGGTTCGTTCAATGACAACCATACAATTATCTGGATTCATTCGATTGTTCTGATCCGAGCGAGTGTCAAAAACCTCAACAGCATCAAGCACCCTGTAATTAATTGCCATACTGCATGTTTTATTCTGGATGCTTTTGGATCAATACTACTCACGAATAGCGTTATATATGTCGTCCACTGAATAATCTAATTTTCAAAAATAACCCAGGCGAGTTCAACTATTTTACTTAATGATTTTTTTGTACTTAACATGTATATGTTTTCCGGTTCCTTTTGCTATATATTTGTAAGTGTCCCTAGGCTAAATGCAGTAACTTCTTATGGAATGTTTATAACGCATCATATTCCTGCCTGAAGTTTCACAAGCAGTCTAAACTTTAAAACTATTTTCTGGTCATGTTCATTATTTCTAAGTCGTCATATACGTCAACAACCTGCATGTTAACCTGGCCCATACATACGTTACACTATACCTCCATTTCTTCTAAATTTAGAAATCATCTGGATCGCCTTTAACATTTATTAATAAACCCATCATAGTCGTTGTTGCTAATCGTATTTGGGTTTATTGCTTGGTTTATCATATTAGCAGCCTACAATGCAGACATAGTTTAGATAATAAGATTAAAAATTTAGGTACTATCAACTGCACTAGTAAAATAACTAAATCCCCAGGTAGCTGTTGGCCAAACAAACGTTTGAAATCAAAACTCCGTAGCCTACTAGAATTAACAATGAACGATTGTTTCTGAATTGAAATTCATAATATAATTAGGCGTCTCGGATTCCTTAACGTTACAAATTTATGATAATTTCGAATCACCTAAAGCAACAATACCTATTTTTCCACTGACTAATCCTCATTCAACACTATAACTAGTTAAACATAATAGTTTCAGGATATCGTCATAAAGCTTTGTCATAACTTGACAACACGTAATATGGTTTATAAAATTAATGAAACTATTAACAAAATCGGTCAGCAAATTGACTTATAATTATCGCTAGTGTTGTTTTTCTTTTATCTTCATTCACTACAGATGATTACAGTAGGTTTATCTATCAGTTGCTCATTCAGTAAATATCTCAAAACCTTGTCAGTCTAATTGGAGGTTTAGCGACACAATCATGCATGCAAATAATCAGTATAAGCAGTCGAGCAAATCTCCTGCAAACTGAAAACATCAATGTCGAATTTACCCCAACACTGACTAAGGTTCAAGCCATTATCATAGACATGAGTTGGGAGTGTACTCCCCTTGGTTACAACTTATGTTCTCCCTGATAATCACATGAGCATCACTCACTATTAATCATCTTGTAAAAGCTTATTTAGCCGAATACATCCTGCGGCACCACATCACTTCGTAATATGACACAGGCCTAATTGATTTTAATAACCTATAACCACTATATCTCAATTTAATCTTATTCCGCCTTATGATAAACTGCATACTTGCAACTAACTTGTATGCCCAATCAGCCGGCAAGTATAAATACAAATAAATAGTCTGCCACAGATCAGAACATTGAGTCCAGAGCATGTCTCTTACGAACACACTCATGTTTAGCGATTTGTTCCTAGCTATCTGTCCAAAATTCATATAATTATCACTCACGTATTTAAATTTTATTTTGATAACCATTCATGTGTATTAGTAGTATTACTAAATTCTATCACGGTCAAGTAAAAATGAAGTTGAGAAAATCTCCCCGTAACTAAATAAACCGTATCAAACTAACTGGAACACTAGTTGGAATTCTTTTCCATGGTAATACTTTTGTTCTCCCAGTTAGCCTACTAATACAGATGCAATTGGAAATCACATATGGACGGATTACCGGCATAATTGTTAATTGGTTTCATAATTTAAACCAAAACTACCAATATTAACATTTCTACAATATTCATCACTTTAATATTTCTAAACACAAAATACTTACTACCTATACGTCAAGTTATTAACCAACGGCTATTAACACGCATTGTTTTATTATTATTACTGTAATCCCATTTTTTTTTTATAGCTCAAATAATCTTCACCCAAATTGTCATTTTAAGTGTGTTAAGCATGAAGGCAGATTTTTTTTAAAAAAAATTATTACATGTATTTCCCGACCAGATGCTGCCGCCTTCTTTTTGATTTATCTTTCAGCTTATCAATACCCGGAGGATCGTTATTATCCTTGGTAACCTCCGGCGCGCGACGATCCCATCCAATTTGGTATCGAACCAACATCACGTTGATTCTGGTGGGAGAGTAGTGTAGTGGCATTGGACAATAGCCACACAATCCACAAAGCTGTGAACACGAGACTACTCAGAAAATAGATATTCAATATTTAACGCGGAGAAATACCTAACAATGGAGAAGGCGCGAACAATGAATTGAATGGACTGGGGTTGATCGAGTGGCATGGCTCGGCCATGCAGGCGTGGTCTCTATTCATATTAAATATATTGTTCTTTCTCTAAACTAACCTGGTTCTTCATCATGTATTGGTAATTGATACGATACAGTGAGTTGGCGTAGTCGATGGTGTGACTTCCACGTAAGATCTTATAGATTAGGCAGTTATATCATGACGAATCTACAAATTTAGGATTAGGTCTATTATTAGAGCAGTACTAATATCGTAGTAGACCATAATTCTACACTTCTACGTGTTCTAACTTGAATTCAGAGTCGGATGGACAACAATGGACTTGCCTTTTACACTTCAATATGTAAAGTAGTCCATCTGAAACATGTTGCAAGATACAAATACAATTAAGGTAGATCCCCTTCAGAGGTATCCTAAGTTGAAAGAAACCTAAATGTGTTGGCACCAAACGATCTAAATTCCTACGCTAACTGTAACAAAAATACATTTCGAGTAAACCTTGCACTGTTAATGTTGAAGGGTAGTTTTGACCGATTCGATGGAAGAACTTTTCACCTAATCTTCGGCAGTTTTATTCATTCCCATTCGCAGTACGGAAACGTAACCTTTCATCCTTCACTCCAAAATGATAAAGACACTCGGGAACGTATCCAACGGTGAGCCACGAAATCAGTTTAGGGACACAAATTCAAGTCTTTTAAAGAGCGCCTTTAGTTCCTAAACCTTTAATCATTAGTTCAGGCGTCATACGGGTGATTTTCTAATGGCTAACAACAACCCAAATAACTCTCAGGATCTCCTTAAACATATACTTAGGCTTGGTCTCAGCACAAACCTTGGGGATAACACACAGAAACTAGAGACACAACACAGTAGAACAAAGTGTAGACACATCTTCTGCTTCTTTAGAGTGTTAAAGTGTTGGGATTTGCAGGTGACTGAGTTATTCGAAGAGACTTCCCTGGAATCCTTTAAAAAAATTGACAGGTTAATAAGGATTAAGGACAGTGCCTTACTATGATTTACGAAAGTATTTTTCTTTTTCCTCTTTTATCATTAATGTACTAAGGTTAACGCCCGGAATTATTGTTGACCCACTGCTACTATAAACGGAAGCCCGTTAAGCGAAAGCTTTTTCTATTCCGTCTAGAACCATTTGTATCTTTGGATATCTAGTAGCAACGTAAAAATCCCTAGGCACCATCTATAAAAATAGTGTAAGCTCAGTTTCAGAACACAATTTAGGGGGAATACCTCGAGTTCAGATGGAAAACGCAGCAACTGAAACAGTAATCGAACCTAGGTTCGATTAGTCAACTTTTGGAAATGCTTGCCGGCTGAAGATTTTCAACCAAATTTAAGGTAACTTACTATGCTATTAACGGCTTGAAAAGGTTGGTCGTACTGAACTATCTACAATTATTTCAATTTTTCAGCTTCACATAACTAGGTCATCACATGGAGATATCGATGTACACTGTTTTTTTGTCGTATGAAAGCTGGTTAACAGAAATTTTCTGTTTCATCCACCACATCTTGAACCATTCGAATCAGGAGTATGTTAATGTAATAGAAGAAGCTTCACTGAGATTCATTCTAAGCCTTACAGTTAAAGCATCGTTGCATTAGTTTCTACGATTGACCTTGTTTATTGATTGTTTGTTGAGCTACATAGAGCTGGTTGTTACAAATTCAATTGGGGAACATGGACAAGGCTGTCGTTCAGACCAAGCTTGCAAGAGTAAGTTTCGGCAATAGTCATACGTCTACTTTATGGTGTAGGTGAGAGCGGTAGTTGGCAGAACCGGTTCTCAGGGTCAATGTACACAGGTCCGTGTGGAATTTCTGGATGATACTAATAGGACAATCATAAGAAACGTGAAAGGCCCCATTCGAGAAGGCGATATTTTAACCTTGTTGGAAACTGAAAGAGAAGCCAGAAGGTTACGTTAATGTATTCCAAATAAAAGGTCGTTGTAAAATTACCAGCTTTTCATTTATAATCACAACATATTTTTCCACGAAATGTTACCAATTCAGACGCAAGCCCGCTTTTTCTGTACTTAAGAACCCATTCATAAGTAATGGACGGAATATAAATTTCATATGTCAACAGTTTAAACTCCATGCTGAAATTTTCAGTCATAGAAGAACCTATGAACGCAAACCTCCTATTTTGGTGAAATTGCGTGGTTCTCCTCAAGTTTTGTTCAGTTTCCTCAGAACATGGACTTAGGGGGAGCTGACAACAACCTGAAACCGTAAACCACCATGACAGTAGTATTTGTTATTTGATGTTTAGTTACACTGCGGACGGACCATTTGTCGATTGCCGATTGTAACAGTAACTGTCGACAGTGGATCTTTCTCTACGGATTTAAAAGCTTCGGCAACTGGTGTATTTCCTAATGCCGAATAAGTATTTTCTCAGCAGCGTCCTGAGGTATGTCTAACATCAATTGCAGACAGATCCTTGGTTTAGAATTTAATTCTTTATACCTGTTTGTGTAGGTGAGTTAGATGGTTTATAAATGAATTGTAAACTCATCGAGTTATCGGATAGAGGTAAACTGCATGTAGATATGACTGGTCAGTATCATAAAGTTACTTAGTAAATCATTCAACTGAACTACAAATCCTCACCATTCCGAAATCAAGTCACGTAGTGTTTCAGGCAAACTTCATTTACATGAATTCATTGGAATTTTCCACTTACTGGTGTAAGCTCATTTTGAAAGATGATTATCAGATAACACCGGGATTTTTGTAATGGATACTTGGTATTCATGTTCGTTCCATACTAAGTGACTGGATATTTTGCTTGTCTAGTCTTTTGATTTGAGTAACATAACATCGCATAAACGGGAAGACGTAAAAAAATGATGATGAGTGGAAGGGTGACGGAATTCGGCGTAATTTATGACTTTGATAGGCAACTGAACATGCATAAGTGAATAGAGAAACAGACGACATTCCTAGGTAATAATTACACTACGAACTTACAGCCAAGGAATATCAAGATTGGAACCATAAGTCCGGGTCTTAAACAGGGAACTGCGTGTCTGTGTTCATTGTCTACCTTTGTCCTCAGGCTAGGCTTCGCAATGTTCACAGGTCTCTCTACTTGTGTCCGAGGAGACAGGCACTTTCGGTTCGCATTTGCTTTTAGAATGAATAGCCGAGGAAGATGGGGTAACGTCAGTTGTATTTATTATTTAGTTCACAAATGGAATGCTATTCTTCTGCCTTACGCACGTATCGTACGCAAGGTTAAGGCTCGGTTATTAACCTGTTGGATGTTAAGCTGCAGGATACTGTTCAGTAAGGACGAGTTCGTAGCATTAATAGTCTTAGACATCAAGCCCTCGATAGTTTAAGATTTTTGTTGACTGTAACACATACGTGGTTCCCTCAGTTGCATTATTGAAGTACGTTCTTAGAAAGCATGCGTAAGAATAATCTAAGCACGCAATGAATTTACACGGTCAGAAACCTCGATCGAGAATTTTTCCATCCATATGATGTAATAAGCCTGATGTAATTCTTGAGCTTGAAACAAAAATAAACATGGCGAGATAATCAATGACAATTTACGAAACTCTAATCCGTTGCCTGATTTCTATTTGTTAATAAGTCGATACCAGGAATTTCTCACCTGCGTATATACGCGACCAAGTATAGTTTAAGGGTCAGATGCCCGCATCATGTGCTTTATTTAATCACAACTCCAACTTCCAGCTTAAAAAATTATTTTCGTAAAATTCTCACAAAAGAAGTCTCGTTTGCGACCTACTCCTTGATGCAAAAAGAAAACAGGGATGTAGAACTGTCAATACAACACTACAATAATAGCTGGATGTACAACTTATAAAGCATAAACCGTTGTAAAGCCAGTGCATTTGTACTCATGTTTTACCGTATGCGAATATCCTGCCTAGTCGTCATTATTGAAAGATCGACATAAATGTCTAATTATTGATAAGACGGGAAGCACATCCATTATTACCTTTAACAAGTGTTACATTCGAGTTCAGTTTAGAGATCTGCATCTTCAGTTTTCCATAAATAAATCTACTTTATTATAGGTTTGCCACAAGCTCTTATGAAATGACTTGGTTCTGTTAACTGCACAGTAAGTTCAGTTAACAGACTAGTGATATATTATAACAATCAGAAATCAGCCACATGAGAAGTGTGTATCATTCGCAAAGAAATCCCATTCACTTTCTAGCAATGAGACACACACGTAGACGGTTGTGATCATGTATAACAAGAATGGGCATCAGTACCCGACTCCACAAAAAACAACAACTAATTTCCATGGGACATTCCTTTGTTACACAATAATTGTTGCATATCATATTCAGACAGATAATATATTCAGCTAGCTAACAGGCGAGATTCGATCAGCGTATCACCTACCTGACATAGAAACTCTCTAATACACATGAGTAACAATCTTTGCGAAATGCTTGTCGAACCAGTGATTTTACACAAAGCTCTATTAAGTAAATAAATTTATTACCAAATAATTGATAGATAAAAATCATTAGGATTGGTGTCGAGAGCTTTGAATATCTTCTCAATACATTGTTATAACTGTGACTGCAGATTGGAGAGCAGCGTATTATCGACCGGACCAAAGACGCGTAAAACACGTGAGAACAACCTAGAGTCCTGCTTTCCTGTCTAGCCCAGCCAGTTTAGTCCAGAACGCAAGTCTCAGCCTCTGAGATATGAATTGTTACATTTCATACATACTCTGTTTATATACCAATCAAGCAGACCACATCGTACCATAAAATAGAAAATAACATCTGTACAATATTTGGCCAACAGGAAAATAACACGTGAAATAAGTATCGACCAACAGGAAAATGATACCATCTCAAGTCCAAGGATAGCGCTAGACTTAACAGGATGACTTTTGAGATATTTTTCTGAATATCCCAACAAACATATATTCCCAACTTGCATTGTTTAGTTACCGTTACCGTTGCTCTGTATCTAATACACAATCTACTTGTAAAGACAATCAATAAGCAGAACTGAATCACTTTACATTCTAGACTGTCGCACATTCTGTCATGCTCATTCCTGATTTATAATTTCTCACATTTCGATCTGGTCATTAGCAGTTGTAACAAATAATTTAGTCTTTCCATATAGTGAGTGATAATGAGTCGAGTGAGTATGAGATAAGCAAATCAGCGCTAGTATATATGGGAATATTTCAGTGATATATTACCATAAACACACACTCATTAGTTTCTAACTGAATCATCAAAGATCAGTCTTCAAGAAACGAACGCCTAAAAAGTTACGAAGTCATTTCGCAAACATGTCATTAGCAATAACTATTTGGTTTACAAATAAACACGAAACGAAATGTGTACTTTCATATTATACCGTCGAAGTCTTAGTGCATTAAAAATCGGAAGGGACCATGACAGATATGCAAGTTGAAAATATGCCTTACTTCAAGATGTATATATCTTGTTTTGCATAATTAGCTAAACTGTTTGTAACTCCAGTTAGGATAAAACTAAAATGATATACGACAGTAGCCTCTACAAATCTGTTCACCAAGTAAATATTAACTGACATTAATTTTCGGAGTCGAACTAATAGTTGTCTGATCGCAATAGACTCGGCAGTATAATACAATTTTATTTTTTGCAGCCATATATATTTGATGTTTACGGTGGCAACTGATTTTGCCAACTATAGCGATACGGTCCGAATATCTAAAAGTTTAACTATGCGACCAGTTATAGTCTATTACGATGACCGCAGTTATCTCACCACAGATATATATACAGTATTGGTAATATCCGTCGTTAATACAATAACTTCTAAAGATTACTGAAAATAACACAAAACTGGTTTGTACTGCATGAACTTCAACTGACCCTGACAACACCTATTGCACTGATAAAAACAATTTTCATACTCATTACAAATTATGATTAACTTATATGTATGTCTCTTTATTCTTATAAAGCAGAAAAGTAAAATATCAAATCGTCAAGTTGGGATGAGCTGATGATCAATAAAATATAAGCAGGAGGTTTTGCAAAAAAAAAAATAAACTAGGAAGCACACTGCATCCAGAACACAATGATAACAGCTTCGAATAAAAATGAACGGACAAGAAATTCATGTAGGATTTTGCATGTGTCACATATACGCAAATCATTTACATATGTGTACAAGGTAGCAAAAAGTCACCTTTGATGGAAGTAAACTATAATGATGACCAATATATATGTACATTACAAGATTCTACTATTCTCTTCTTACATCTCTATTTTTATATTGTGGTTCTCCATCACTAACTTCCTGTCCATCTTCATCCTTTCCACTCGAATCAAGTTCGTTTACTGGCTCTTCATCTTCTGGTATAGGATCTGAAGACGGTTGGTGAGTCAGCAAAGCAGCTAGTTCTCGCTTTGCATGTTGTTGATTTAATTCAAGCATTTGTTGTAATGCATTCTTAATGACACAGAAATTGAATTCTATTAAGCCTACAAACGTATAAAAATAAGCAAATTCTAGAAACTAATTTGTTATAACAAGAATCATTGAATAGTTTACTTCAGAATGTAATGCGTGGTAGTTGTTTGACAGAGTATAAACCAACTCTACTTTCGAAGTTTTAAATCTCATTGTATTTTTCGATCATTCTATTATTTCAAACTTCCAAAAAACAGATACCCCTGCATAATTATTGCGAAAACGATAAAGTCCACCGACTTACATGTGTACTCATACCCTCCCTAGAGGGATGATGCTTGCCACTTACTAGACATTGTATCGATCAACCATTATAAAAACAGGAGCAAAATACCTATTATTTGTTTGTAAAAGGAGCTTTTTCATTTGAGTTGGTTCTGAAAATGTTTGAAAACTTGCAAAACATCGGACGTAGTCGAGAAAGATATCTGGTCATTAATTTGTAAACGGTAGGGAAGAGGGGATCTTTATTAGGTGTTATACAGTGATTTGTAAGGTGCTTTAATTTGAGTTGACGAATTGCCGGTTTTTTAAGAGTTGAGCTTGTTATTTACTCACTCGCTTCAACACAAATTGTGGTACAATGGTTTTCTTATTGAACGATGAAGTATTGAGTCACATAAGCATAGTTAGAATGCAGATGTTTACATGTGAAAATGAATAAGTTATTTTATATTTTGTACCTAATATACATACTATAATTAATGTTTTAAGAATAATGACTAAAAAGACAGACGAAACAATCGTTTACCCATTTTCTCTAAAGATTCTTCATACATCAAACAAGCTAGAGCCATATACTGATTGACGCCACGAAGATATAATGCTCTGTCATTGTTTAAGATAATTGTTGCCCCAGTTTGCTCAGATACAGGCGGATCAACAAAATTAGATTGGGGACTGCAAACAAAGATGAGAAGGTATCTTTTAGAATGAAGTTAACAGAGGTGAAGTAACTTCGGGAATTACATATGCCTAACACAAAACGCACTTGTTTTTTGTCTTGAGATATATACCGGGATTAGTGATAGGGAATGAGTGGGTTGACAAGAAAGGACTGAAGTCTAATAACACCATCCATTTGACTTTCCATGAGAAGTATGAAACTGGAGTACTTGTGGAACTCATACGCATTTGTGACAAACTGTCCAGAAGTAGTGGATATCCAATGAAAGAATATCTCAAATCAAACATATTAGCTAAATGAGCAGGACAGAAAGACGACATTGACGCAAATGATATACCGGAAGTTGGTCAAAATCCACGCAGTAAAAGTTCGAAGTACTTAACTTGGTAGAACAATCACTTGACAATTTAAAGAAGATAAGCGAAGATTCAGTTCACGATTTCCTTTACCATACAAAAACAGATTAGACAATTTCGTATGAACTTAATATCACATATCAAACTGCAGCGGTGTTGCCTCCTAACAACGGAAGGAAGAAGTTAGAAACGGTCGACCGTAAAAAGCAGACACCTCATTTTACCCTATGGGTTTATATACAGTGGTGAGGCCTTTTGAAAAACCGGGCTGAGATATCGAAAACGTCCTTCAGACGTGCGCATCTATCCTTAAGAAGTTCCCCACTGAGGTCTGCGATCGTCCTTCCAGTTAACCAATCACCAGTAACGTCCACCCGAACGTGGGTTGGCAAGATATCCAGACAGTCGTTGAGACAGCGGTAGGGCCTGTGGCAATCTATAATCAAAATGTCAAGGAAAACAAATGGATTTCAGAAGCATCTACTAAACCGATAAATGAGGTAGCGAATCTTTATTGTCTGAAATGGTTAGGACATGTTTTGATGTATGCCCATCTACCACCTCACTCGATGCTCAATGATGTTTGGTGTACGAGTAGATTTTAAGAATGCTAGGTGCAGACAAACCAGAATACTTTTTACTTCATGTTGCACACTTCTGATGATTTTGTGTGTGCTAGACTTTACTGAAGACCATTGTTTTCTCAGTCAGTCACAACGTAAAACATGTACGTATGTAGATCGGTTCAAGTTGGCATAACCGAAATGCTTTGCAAGTTGAACATGTTACTTGCAGCGAGCACACCGAACCATGGACTCAACGAAGCCATCCTTAAGGATAGGATTTCCTCAGTGATTAACGTCATTACAGTCACGTTCACTCATCCACAGCGTGCTACTAAGATCTGTCATCATAATCTATTCTGTGATGGTTCCTATGTGATATTGCTTCTACTGGACCGACCCTATGTTATGGAGATATCACAGTATATGAAAGATTTTCAGTATGTCCAGTAGGGTGTATGACGATTGGGTCAGAAATTGCATTTCGAATTCGAAGAACAGTCCAAAATAGAGCCTTAACAGTTGAGTTGGTTTACGATTAATTTAAAGAAAATTAGGGATGGGTGAACACTGAATGTTAGATTGAGCCATGTAGGTATGATCAAACTGGTTGGGTTTTGCATGAATATCATATTCAACAGTTGGAGACATAGTCTAGATATCTGAAAATTCTTCGCAATCGCGCAGAAGCATTTATTGTTTGTCATATCTTTCATCCTAATTTTCTTGTTTCCCCATAATTTCGTTTCAAACCACTAATTTATATTTTCTTCTCCAACTGTATCTTCGATGTCTAGTCTTTTCAACCACCACTACTAAAATTCCCACATCTAGTCAGCTGAGATTCGCCTTGAAAACTTTATCTGGTTGTGCTAAAGGGGTAGTACAACTTGAACTGATACTTACATGTACTAGGTTCAACGCTGCGTACGACTGACTGACATTATTGAACCTGAAATGTTACTTGCATACGTGCTGCCAGATGAGTGGAAAATACAAATATACCACAAGAAACCAGAGATTATATAACCTTCAGTTACAAAATAGTGGTATCTATCATATATACCTATCTATGATGGTATACAGTAAGTACTGTCATATCACCTGTAGCTAGCTGAACAACGGTACAGCAAAATTAGATGATAACTTATGTTGCATGACCAGGCATTGTGCTGGAAAATTATCAGCATAATTTTAGACGGTAATTTCAACGTCATGAAGGGGTTTATGTTAAATCGATGCCCGGTAGACATGTTGATTTCGATACTCTTATTGTTTCTGGAGCAATAAAATTTTTAAAATTTATGATGTAGAATCACTGAAGATTTCTGAAAATAAAAGTATATAGGGAAAATAGTTTTCACATTAACTACTAGCCTACGTGTAGATTGCTGCCACATCTACGACAACATCAATCATATCGCAGCATAATTCATACGTCTGCATGTCTACTGCATTTGAATCTGTTGCTAAATATATTTTACTGGTGACATCAAAAAGAAATGCTTTGTCCACCATTGAATTCTGTAAAACAAGAAAGAAAACATGAAGGAAAAATTAAAGATTTGAAAAATATACGCGAAAAAAATCAAATGCCAGATAATATTAGGAATCGCCTTACACGCGACAACAAGCACGACAAAAGTAAAAAAATGGAATTTTGATGTTGCTTATGCTACAGAAATTTTCAGACCCGTTTGTAATGCATCCTAAGGAGCATTAAAGGGCCTTTCCTGATAATCGTTTTATATAAAATTGCGGGACGCTCGAAAACTAAACCATTAATTGATAAAACTCACCCAACGGATTCTCAAAAAGCACGTTTCTTATATCATATTGGAGGAAGATTTCAACATCCACAGTCTTTTAAACAAAAATAACTACAGAAATCGAATTCGAAGGGCAATTTCTGACCCAATCGTCATACACCCTACTGGACATACTGAAAATCTTTCATATACTGTGATATCTCCATAACATAGGGTCGGTCCAGTAGAAGCAATATCACATAGGAACCATCACAGAATAGATTATGATGACAGATCTTAGTAGCACGCTGTGGATGAGTGAACGTGACTGTAATGACGTTAATCACTGAGGAAATCCTATCCTTAAGGATGGCTTCGTTGAGTCCATGGTTCGGTGTGCTCGCTGCAAGTAACATGTTCAACTTGCAAAGCATTTCGGTTATGCCAACTTGAACCGATCTACATACGTACATGTTTTACGTTGTGACTGACTGAGAAAACAATGGTCTTCAGTAAAGTCTAGCACACACAAAATCATCAGAAGTGTGCAACATGAAGTAAAAAGTATTCTGGTTTGTCTGCACCTAGCATTCTTAAAATCTACTCGTACACCAAACATCATTGAGCATCGAGTGAGGTGGTAGATGGGCATACATCAAAACATGTCCTAACCATTTCAGACAATAGAGATTCACTAACTCATTAATCGATTTGCCATTTTTGCTTATTACTCTGTGCATAACCTCAGAATCGCTAATTTCATGGTCCCCAATTTTATGAGCAATCCTATGAGGGTATTTACAAACAAAAACTAGCAACCTCAAAATACTCTGTATTCTTAAAGGCCACGAATAACAGCCGTAATGTAGAACAGACTGCTGCACAGTATACTCATCCTATGTCTGTATGTCACGTCAAAAGTAATGCAAGTTGCCAAAAGCCAATAAAGCTTGTTGAATCGGTGGCCCAATTGAGCTAATCACCAACCCATCAAGACTGATGAGACTCAAAAACGTCTATCAGCTCAGTAGACGTTGCAGACTTTCACTAACATTTTGATTTTAGTCTATTACAGATCGTATCGCTTTTATCATGACTGCTGTATGCCATGCCAACCCATATCCAGGTGGATGTTGCTGACAATCGACTAACTGTCCTTCTATTTGTTCCTTAGATGCACTCTTGAAATTTTGTCTTTTTTGCATAGAACAAGACATAAATACATGTTTATATTAGGGCATGATCAGAGTCGAGATATGTGCTCAGAAATGAGCGGTGATCTTTTATTTAGCCTCTCTCACGATGGCTAATGCGGTCAGTTTGCAATCACCGTTGAGTTTATTGTGGGGGTTTTCATGTAGGATGATGCTCCTTTTTGCGTTTAAAGTTAGTCATTGTCAAGAATAAACGGATGTCTGAGAACAACTACAGCAGTTGGTAACGACTGTCCGCTCATTGAGCTAGGATGGCATGAGACCCATTTGAGTGTCTTCGACTTTGTTTTGAAACACCTGAGGATTAAAATATTCTACTATAATTAATGCTACCGAGAATTCAGCTTTTTTGTGATTTTTAACTACTGAGTTCCGACTTAAACTTTACTTTGATTACTACCGATGACTTATTTTAATAAAACTAAAATGTAAACATATCCTACGAGAATACAGTTTGGACCAATGAATGAGTAAACTGACAACTGAGTATTATATATATACCGATTAGGTTTCGTTGAAAAAGCTTTTTCCTTATTCTTAGTCTTTTCACTCCAGTAGTTGCTTGAGTGTGTATACAAGAAGATTGAGTTTCAGTATCAGTATAGGACACTACTTACTGAAAACATAAAATGTTTCGAGAAACATATTTATTGTACTTTTTGCAATGAAAACTTTCTATTAATCATTGTATTTTAAAGACTAAGAAAATAACTTTGTCACAGCAAATTACATGAATTGATTTCACTTTAGTGTCTGAATTAACTCAACTATCAACAAAAGTTATTAGTTTTCGTATGTGATCACTTTAAAATCTTAGGGATAATCCTGAAATGTTTTTAATGCATAATACATTCCGATAACCAAATGTTATGAACATGTACTGATCAAGTGATCTGTGTAACGGAATAGTGACTGGATCAGTCAAATTTCACGATCATAAGGTTTTGTTTTATGAATTGCAATTAACTGATTCTTGTCTCAGAGGTTCGACGATATCGACAACCATTCTCTAAAAGTTATAGTCCAAAATCCTGTAGTAAATAAGCATATGACTAAATAAGAAATTCAAATTCATTACTATTTATAGAAAAATGTTCTTTGAAATACAGAAAGAGAGATATGAACTAGTATGTATTAGTTAATTGAGGATAAGTTTTGTTTACAAAAGGATCTATTCAATCTTCAAGTTGATTTAACCTTCTAGAGAAGAAAGTTACTTTTAAATACTTAAAATGAGTTAAAAATTAAATAATAAAACACAAAGCAAGATATAATGAATAAATTTATTTGTAATGATTAAGAAAACAAAAAAAAAAGGAAACTCACTGTAATAAATATATTTAATAAATGTTCAAATGCTTCCAAGTAAGGAATTAATTTTTGTACCACTTTACTGAATGCTTCAAAAATTGAATGATCATATATTGTAGTTAAATGAAATCTGGTTTAATTTTTTTTTATTAAAAAAAAAGATTACCTTTAATATAGTGTAGTTTAGAATAAGATTCAAATTTATCTTGAATAATTCAATAATGTACTCAATGATCTTCTAATAATTGATCATTTCATTTACAATAACCTACGACCTCGTGAGTCTCATTTGTCTCACATATATGTTTTACCAAAAACAAATAAACAAGATGTTCCTCTTAGATTTATTATGTCAATAGTCAATTCAACTTATCAAAACGTTGCACGTTGGCTAACGGATAAGTTAAAATTAGTCCGTCAACGACTAGTCGCGTATAAACCAAAAAATCCAATTGAATTTGGCGATAGTATGGATTATATAAATATGATTTCCATTGATGTAACATTACTGTTAACTAAAATACCACTTCTTGAAAGTATAGACATAATTTGCTAGTGTTCTGGTATCCTACCTCTACCAGCAACAAACTCAAACAACTGTTAATCATATGTAAAAAAGATATTCAGTTTCAGTTCAAGAATGTCATATACCGACAAACTGATTGTGTAGCAGCGGGAAGTCTATTAGGTCCTGTCCTAGCAGATATTTTCATGGCTAATGTAGGAAGAACCAAGTTCGGAGAAATTGATGAAATGGTGTATTATTCGAAGTAAGTTGATGACAACGTCATTGCGTGTAATAATCAGAAACATGAAACAAAATCTGCTGAAACTTTTCAAAGAAGCCCATAAAAACATTCACTTTACTATGGAACAAGTACCATTTTCTTGACATTACAATAAAAAGAAGAATGGCATGGTCCAACATCCGGTTCATAAAAAGTATATATAGAATATATCATTGGCAAAGAAATCCCATTCACTTTCTAGCAATGAGACACACACGTAGACGGTTGTGATCATGTATAACAAGAATGGGCATCAGTACCCGACTCCACAAAAAACAACAACTAATTTCCATGGGACATTCCTTTGTTACACAATAATTGTTGCATATCATATTCAGACAGATAATATATTCAGCTAGCTAACAGGCGAGATTCGATCAGCGTATCACCTACCTGACATAGAAACTCTCTAATACACATGAGTAACAATCTTTGCGAAATGCTTGTCGAACCAGTGATTTTACACAAAGCTCTATTAAGTAAATAAATTTATTACCAAATAATTGATAGATAAAAATCATTAGGATTGGTGTCGAGAGCTTTGAATATCTTCTCAATACATTGTTATAACTGTGACTGCAGATTGGAGAGCAGCGTATTATCGACCGGACCAAAGACGCGTAAAACACGTGAGAACAACCTAGAGTCCTGCTTTCCTGTCTAGCCCAGCCAGTTTAGTCCAGAACGCAAGTCTCAGCCTCTGAGATATGAATTGTTACATTTCATACATACTCTGTTTATATACCAATCAAGCAGACCACATCGTACCATAAAATAGAAAATAACATCTGTACAATATTTGGCCAACAGGAAAATAACACGTGAAATAAGTATCGACCAACAGGAAAATGATACCATCTCAAGTCCAAGGATAGCGCTAGACTTAACAGGATGACTTTTGAGATATTTTTCTGAATATCCCAACAAACATATATTCCCAACTTGCATTGTTTAGTTACCGTTACCGTTGCTCTGTATCTAATACACAATCTACTTGTAAAGACAATCAATAAGCAGAACTGAATCACTTTACATTCTAGACTGTCGCACATTCTGTCATGCTCATTCCTGATTTATAATTTCTCACATTTCGATCTGGTCATTAGCAGTTGTAACAAATAATTTAGTCTTTCCATATAGTGAGTGATAATGAGTCGAGTGAGTATGAGATAAGCAAATCAGTGCTAGAATATAGGAGAATACAGTTTTAGTTTTTGCACTTACATATATGTAATCCATACCCTTTTGTGATGTTTACAGTGGCAACTGATTTTGCCAACTACAGCAATACGGTCCGAATATCTAAAAGTTTATTCGGCAAGAAAGATTTAACTTTGAGACCACTATTGAGCAGGAATCAACTACCCGAACCATTCCGAAAAAGTTATGTTAACATTAGTATTGTGGATGCAGAGGAATAGACCAATAATTATCATGTTAAGTCCAATGGTGTCCTTGGTCTTTAAATGGACATTTCCTATTGGTCGATATCTGTTCACTTGTTGAGCATTGTACAAAATGTTGTTTTCTATTTTTATGGTACGATGTGGTATGCTTGGCTAGTATATAAATAGAGTATGTTTGAAATATAATGATTCATATCTCCGAGGCTGTGACTTGTGTTCTGGACTCAACTGGCTGGGCTGGACAGGGAAGCAGGACCAATCAGAACTGTAGTCCGTTCGTTCGTGTTTACGTGTCACCGAATCGATAATAAACGCTGCTTATCAAAACCTGCAGTCACACCCGTCATAACAATTAGTCTTTGAGCTCGATGTGATTAGCGAAATATTTTAGAGATAGTGATTAAACTAATAATCTATAAATAGTATTAACATTAAGCTTACACTTACCCTATACTAATTCCAGCATTCGACGGTTGTTCGCACAATAAATCCTCTAAGACACTTGTTACATGTTGAGTAATATCTCGTTGTATATCCATTTTTTGATCATCTGATAAACAATCAACTTTATGAATAAATACTTCAAATTTAATATTCATATTAAAACGGAACGCTGATTCTAAAGTAGCATGTAGGCGGGTTAAAGCCGCATGATAATCATCCTACAGAATTAAAGTAACGATCAATAATATAAATATTTGACATATGACTAGCAAATAAAAACCGAGGAAACTGAATCATATGCATTTTATCAAGTATTCAATTATAATCTATTACGACGACCGCAGTCATCTCACCACAGATATATATACAGTATTGGTAATATCCGTCGTTAATACAATAACTTCTAAAGATTACTGAAAATAACACAAAACTGGTTTGTACTGCATGAACTTCAACTGACCCTGACAACACCTATTGCACTGATAAAAACAATTTTCATACTCATTACAAATTGAAAATATTAGAATATATTACACTGTATTCAGAACAAATTATTATTAACTTATATGTATGTCTCTTTATTCTTATAAAGCAGAAAAGTAAAATATCAAATCGTCAAGTTGGGATGAGCTGATGATCAATAAAATATAAGCAGGAGGTTTTGCAAAAAAAAAAATAAACTAGGAAGCACACTGCATCCAGAACACAATGATAACAGCTTCGAATAAAAATGAACGGACAAGAAATTCATGTAGGATTTTGCATGTGTCACATATACGCAAATCATTTACATATGTGTACAAGGTAGCAAAAAGTCACCTTTGATGGAAGTAAACTATAATGATGACCAATATATATGTACATTACAAGATTCTACTATTCTCTTCTTACATCTCTATTTTTATATTGTGGTTCTCCATCACTAACTTCCTGTCCATCTTCATCCTTTCCACTCGAATCAAGTTCGTTTACTGGCTCTTCATCTTCTGGTATAGGATCTGAAGACGGTTGGTGAGTCAGCAAAGCAGCTAGTTCTCGCTTTGCATGTTGTTGATTTAATTCAAGCATTTGTTGTAATGCATTCTTAATGACACAGAAATTGAATTCTATCAAAAATACAGAATACATAAAACTCATTATCGATTTTTCGTTGATGGCCAATAGTGATCCCGGATGTGGTTGATCTATAGCCCCATAAACGTTATGGTACAAGAGATCACACTATTTTGGTTCTTGTTTCATATCTACAAACGCTTCCAGAATTTTTTAATTTACCAGAGACTTCTGAAAATGTCAAACCTATCCTAGATACTAATGTTATATTATCCACGACCATCACCTTTGTTTTTACATTAGAATGTAAATCCGACAATATCATAGAAAGATGAACATTCTGATCCTTATTTATTGTCTCTATTCAATTCTTACTCATAGTTGTAATTTCGTGTTAAGCTTTATAATGCCTGTCACAAACGAACATGTGCTCACACTATAAATCAAAGTTTAAGAACGTGTTTTAAAAGTTGCCTTTTGAACCTTTGTAACAGATGTCAGGGATCTCTAAAAATACAGTTCATTGAGTATGCTTAGTGAAGAAAACCGACGTTATCCATTCGATGACGTGGAATTACAAGCCTATATAAACATTGCTTTAATTGGCTTAGCTTATATATTTGAATTACCCGCTACAAAAGGAGACACTTTAACAAAACCAAAGTCCACTAGTGTTTAATAACGGACTCGCGCTGTTAGTAGTAGCTTCAAATTCACAGAATAATATTAAAAGCCAAACAAAATACAATACACATTCAGTTAATACTTTACCTGAGCATCGATAATGAAAATTATAGCACAAGAAGCTAAAAATATAGCTTCAGATTGAAAGGTCTCATCACAAAAATCAATGTGACCAGGAAAATCCCATATTTGAAATTTGATAAAGGAGCATTCAGATACGTCTGAAAAGTTATACCTTTAAAAAAAATCATAAAAAATGCTACCATTCTTTTCAATTTTGTGGGTACTTTCCAAAAACAATGTTTCGTTTGGTGCCATTTTGTGAAAAACAACCCGTTGAATCGATGATTTACCACTTCTATAAATAATAGGTCAACATATTAACATAAGGGAATAAAACCTTCTTAAACCCATCAATAGTATTTTCGGTTTTTCATCGACTTGACTCAACATATTTTGAAAAATAGGCAAATGATTCCCAACACCACAACTGCCAGCAGCAACAGTGCTTTGTGATAATTCACAATCATAATTTTCCTGATATCCAGTCGGGATAAAGTTTCCTAATTCTGAATAAACCTGACGGGTGGGGTCCTCACTGTTAACATTGTTCATTCTGAAACTAAAAGATGTAGAACTGTTAAACTGAAAACTCAATATTTGAAAAAGTTAGATTTTAAAAATATAAAACTGACTTTTGTATAACACTATCTAAGTGTTTTAACAGCCTTGTTTAGAAAATGTAACCGCTTAGTTTTGGTTGACTAAATTGAGACAATTCATTCTTACTACTTTTTTGTTCGTAAAACTTGGGATCACCTAATATGGTTGCAAGTTCTTTTATTGTTGTTATGTTGTTTCCGACTTCAAGGTAAACCACAATGTAAAGCGACATTTGTAATGTAAATACCCTTAATAAACCATGAAATAGAATTTCTATCTTCTTACAATGATTACCATTTCACACGTACTGATTACATGTTTCCATAACCGCTTTCGTTTTGCTTTGTTTTGTATGTATTTAGGGTCAGTAAATGAATACTTAAAAGTCGATGACTAACAGAAAATCTGTCAACTTTGAATGGTAACATGATCTTAAATCCATTTAGCAATTTACGGATAAATGAAATGAGTTTAACAAGAGTTTGAGTTAGTCAGATGTGAAAAATATCGTGTCTTGAACTCAAATAAATTATAGTTATAAAACTTATTTTACTGGGAATTAGATCTTATATTTGAACTCATGGATATGATTGCATAATTCGTTTCATGATGGTTTGAAGACACCTAATGAGTTGTTGACTGAATGGTAGTTAACGATAGAACTAATGAGACTTCAGTCGCTGAGATTATTATGAATATAACTCCATATTTAATGTCTTTATTACTCTTGACGCTTCACTTCTGTGAAAGTTAGTTTATATCTTGATTTGGAGTGTTGCTTATGCTATAGAAATTTACAAAACCATCTGAAACCATACACTGGCAGCTACGAATGAACCAGTGAGTAAGTAATACAAGAAACGTGCAGTTTTCTAAGAACGGTGACTGTGACTTTCCAAGTTTGTTTGAGTTTGACAGTTTACCAGAACAGGCGGCTTAGTGACGTTTAACAACAAAAATCCAGATTCGAGTCTAGCTTTAACTACTTCGCTTTGGGAACCCGAGTAGTAAAATTATTTATCACATTTAGAATATCGTCCACAATCAAGCACCTGCTGAAGTAATTAATTAAAATATTTACAAGACGGTGTTAGAATTCGTAAAAATAAGCACAGGTAAACTAATAACAACATCAAGTATGGATACGTAGGTAAAGCATTAGAGATGTACTGTAATGGATTCTAAAGAGCGATAAAGGTTCTTTTCTGATAGTCGTTTTATATAAAATTGCGGGACGCTCGAAAACTAAACCATTAATTGATAAAACTCACCCAACGGATTCTCAAAAAGCACGTTTCTTATATCATATTGGAGGAAGATTTCAACATCCACAGTCTTTTAAACAAAAATAACTACAGAAATCGAATTCGAAGGGCAATTTCTGACCCAATCGTCATACACCCTACTGGACATACTGAAAATCTTTCATATACTGTGATATCTCCATAACATAGGGTCGGTCCAGTAGAAGCAATATCACATAGGAACCATCACAGAATAGATTATGATGACAGATCTTAGTAGCACGCTGTGGATGAGTGAACGTGACAGTAAAGAAAAGCATCCCGACACAAACATTCTTCCATAGAAGAGAGTCGTCCAAGTGACCGATGAGGACTTGTTGGTCGCAGGTTAGATAAGAGGGACCGTTTACTGCAAACGTGCGCAGACCACAACCTGCTTCTGGTTATCACTAACTACCGACACAGTCATCGCCGACGTGCCGCCTTGTGTCCCCCCTCTGCATCTCAACCACGGACTCCGGTTGATCACATCACCATCAGCTACCGCTGCTTTCGCTTCGTTATACAGGACTGTCCTCTGGGATTGTCTATTGAAGAACGGTGTGCCTGAGAAGTTTATTAACATTTTATAAACCCGATATACAAACACATCAGCCAAAGTGAGGGGATACAACCACCTCTCTCCATTGTTCCATTCAAGCTTTGGGTTTAGACAGGGTTTCCCTATCTCACCATTCCTCTCCAACTTTGCTAATAATGATGTTCTGGAAACGGCTCTGATGGATGTAGGGAATGGTGGCGTAGGTCTGTTGCCTGGAGAAATTCTCGACCTTGAGTATGCAGGTGATATTATTTTATTGCGCAATAATACCAAAGTCATGCAATCTGCCCTTTATCAGTTGACAATTAGTGTCTGTAGGTATGGTATGTGTTTTGCACCTTCCAAGTGCAAAGTACTTTGACAAGACTGGCAGGACCCTGTTTTTATTTGTTTATTTGAACACAAATATTAGTACAAAGGAGCACCGAATACCAGTCACAAGTCACTTGTTTGTGTGTGAGCTGTGATACTGTCGTCCCCGTGCATTATTTGCCGACGCTGGGACTGGTTGGAAAAAGGGGAGAGGTGGTCAGTGTATGATATGGTGTCGCGGTATGAAAGAAAGCTGTACAGGACTGGCTTCTCTTGGTCCATCACGACTCCCTGGTTGGGGTTCTAGAGATGGTGGCTTAAGACGTTAACCGATATAACTCAAAATAGAGGGCAGTGGCGATCCTGCTATAATTTTCTTTTGCTTCATAAAAAATGGACGTAACTTCTTTAACTGGAAGAATTTTTCTGGTTGTACTTCTGCTAACTGAACTGCTTTTCCCACTATTATTATTTCACTATCATAAACTAATTTCTGTTCGTTATTGTTCTCCTTTTTTCTTATACGCAATTTACATTCTCTATCTCTCATTCTCATTGTTATTGTATGGCGCATATATATTTGGTGCCTCTTTGTACCAATATTTATATGTTCAAATAAATAAATGTTGATCAAGGTGATTAGAAGACTGTAGGTCGTTAGAGTCCTCCCTGGACAGAACAATGTCATTTGAGTGTACTGTGTTAAACAGTGCGGCCTATGCTCCACAAGAGGTAACACGTAAGTAAAGTAAGTAGCGTCAATTAGTGGGTCTCCTAGTAGATCAACATTTAAAAAGTCAGGTAATTGGAGCCTTATCTGTAAACAAATGTATACAATAAAGTTAAAAATGATGGAAAAACCGAACCCTGACATAAATCGCTTGAAGTTATCAATCCCGATAACGTTTCGCCATAAATTGACCAGCAGTGTTAGAGTAGAGAGCCTGTACAAAGTTAATACATTTCTTTGGTGCTCCTTTCAATGACAGACAACCACAAAATTTATCGATGTACTGAGTTGAATACTACCTTAAGGTCAAGAAATATGCATATGATTGGGATTCATTAGACATGTCTAACTCACAACCCAGTAGAGGACAAAATTTCGGTCTGCGGATCCACATACGGGTTTGCAATCAGTCTAGTTTTCTCAAAATTGTTGTCCAGATTTCCAACTTTCAATCAACTGCCTGAGTGAAAAATAATAAGTGTTTACACCTATTTATGGACTAATATCTCCATATTACATAGTTGTAAAATCTATGGAATGAGTATTGCATCAACCTCTTATTAGTCGGTTACAATATAGAACCTGTAAATATGTACGTTGATTCAATTCGACATGCCCCATTAGCACAGAGAGAGGAAATTGTCAGGCCGAATCCCAAAGTAGTACAAGTAGTAACATTATAAGTGGTGATTTAGAAGACTAGGGATCGAGGTTACAAGTTAAGGAAATAAAAAGACAAAAAACTTATGAGTTATTAAAAGCTCAGGATTTCGGGGAAGACAAAGAATAGATACACTTGAGCCATTGCAAACGATTTTGAGTCATGCCATTCAAAGCCTAACCACTGGTTATGATGGTCACACGGACCCCAACCAAGTAGCCTACTCCTACCAAAATGACTCAGTTCAATTTTCAGTGACTTTATGGACTAATCCCGTGTTCGTTTGCCTGACCCTTGCTCTCTTCCAGCCTGCTCATGCACCATACAACATCACCCGTTGAGGTAGGCCGTAGTCGGACATACATAACACATGTCTTAACCACTTCAACAGAAGCTTTGTATATTTAACTAGTACTCTATGCTTGACCCAGACACTGCCTACTCCGTGATCCCAAAATACTAGGTCAAGGAATACAACTATTGTCGGACGCCGACAGGTATGTTTACGTTCGAAAATTTGCCGAGTGGTGAATATTTAGTCTATACATCCATGTTGACGTTTGGAACCAGCCTTGTTCTATCAGGATTGCTATTCGCGAACCGTAGCGAAGCTTCGGATTACTATTGAAACTAGTTTAGATATTATAGTAGTCAGACTGAATTCTCTGTGATTGTCACAACATTTTATCGTTTCTTATAAACTGGGACGACTAACGACCGAGACTGGTCAAAGTGTATTACATCCAGTTCCCAGATTTTAGCTAAAATCTCAGTTCATTTAAGTGCTAAACCTGGAACAGTCAGTCAGTCAGTCAGCTACAACGTAGGACCAGGCACATATGTGCATCGGTCCAGGTTGCCATACCGCATCAGCACAACAAGATGAACACCGGATTCATAGCAGTGGTTAGGTCAAAGGTAGTAATATATAAGAGAAAGATTGCATATAGAGATATAGTACAAGAAGAAAGAATTGGTTCGTAGAAAGAAAGATATGAAGCGATTTTAATCTATTAGTTTAAGGGAAGACAGAGAGTGTATACACCGACGCCATTGTGATCGATTCTGAGCCATGTCACCAAGAGTCTTCAACCATTGGTTACGATAGTCACGCGGACCCCAACCAAGTAGTCTGCATCTACCAACATGGCTCAGACTGGAAGTTAGTGACTTCAAGCACTGATGCCACGTTTTGGTTTGGCCGCCCCTAACTTTCTTCCAACCATTTCCAATACCGGATAGCATTGCACGTCGTGGTAATCGGTGTTCAGGCATACGTAACACGTGGCCCAACCATCTCAGTCGATGAAGATTCATAACCTCATCAACTGATTTACCATCATTACCTAATACCCTGCGTCTAACCTCACTATTACTTACCCGGTGATCCCAGCAGACACCAACAATATTT